CCCCCCCCCCCCCCCCTCCCATCCACGACGAGAAACGGAAATCCTCACCATAGCAGACGCTCCGATCGAAAGTCTTGAACCGCCAGGACCTCGACAGCAGACCCTCATCCCCCTCCTTCGCCCCTCCGACTGCAGAGAAGCACCCCAGCTGCATCCCACTGAACTTCCCCCCCTCGCCCCCAGGGGTCGACACGAACACCAGCGACTCACCGAGATCCAGAAAGAGTAGAGCGAGGAGAATCATTTCCGACGAGGCAGGCGACGGGACTGGAGGTGGAGGAACGGCAGGGAACTCCGCACTCCTTATTGTGTCATTGTGAGGGAACCGTTAGCACGCCCCACTTACCCCACATTTTATTCTCCCACATAAAACGACGACAAACCCTCCTCCGCGAAATCATATCTCTCTCCTGTGCCCATTTCCCGGACGCCTTTCGCGTCTCCGGTCGTGGGAATCCTCGAGACTTCGCCTCCGAAACGACATCGCCTTCGCATCTCCCGAAAACCGCTCGTCATGCGACATTAAGGATCGTCGACGACCCCCCCCCCCCCCCCCCCCCCGCCCCCCCCCCCCCCCCCCCCCCCCCCCCCCCNCGCCACCCCCCCCCCCCCCCCCCCTTACGCTCGCATCCGTCTCCATGGCAACGGACGGAATATCGTCCGACGATCTCCCACCGCCTGCGGTCGCCGACGGGCGACAGGTGTCGACTCGGATCCAGATCGTTCTCCGACGCGAACGAGGGCGGTCGACTTACGAGGAGGGCGGTCGACTTACGAGGAGGGGAGCCGTGATGGCTTCCTCCCCAGAAAATTGCATTCATGCTCGAGAGCACCCAAGAATTTCCGGCTCTAAGGGCTAATTCACGTCCTGCTCATTATGCACGAAATTGAGTTTTTCCCCTTCGACGTCTTTTATTTACATACTTTTATTTATTTATATTCTTTTTGAACAATTTTCTTGCCCAGCATTTCATTTTTTTTTCCCGCGCGCAACTTGGAAGCGTTTGCCAGAAGCAAGTTGGAAATTTTTGGCATAGTGGCGACAGGTTGCGTGTCTTCGGCAACTGGTTGCACATCGTCGGCAACTCCCTTCGCTCCTCACTTTCTCCTAATTTAATTGGATTCGGAATAATGATTCGCGCGTGGCATTATGCATGAGAAGCGATGAATTGCGTCCGATTCACGCTTCTGTTTGTCGAGGATTCACTTTCTCCATCTTCCACGAGCGAGTGGACACCCGTTACTCACGCGTTACTCACCCGTTACGCGTTACGCGCGAAGCGAAGCCGTAATAAAATCGCGTCGGGAGGAGAAGAAAAAGAAAAACGGTGTCAGGAAAGAAGAAGAAAAAAAAACTGGAAATGGAATGTGGGTCGTGCCTCTCTTGCGCCTCTCTGGGCGAAATACACGCGAGATCGCGGATACAATTGGGTCGATACGTCGATAGAGGAGGAGGTCCCCATCGATGGAGGAGGAGGTCCCCCTCCCATAAATCAAGCGAGTTTTCGAGCTTCGTTAAAAGTCGCCGTTCCGCGATGAGATGCCGTCCGTGGCCCCTCGTAACGACGCGTCTTCCGCGATTTATTTATTTATTTATTTTTTTTTAGAGCGACGCCGGAATTTTCTTTTTTTTTTTTAACTGTTTTGAGAATTTTTTCTCCCCGACAGTAAAAAAAAATCCGTTTTTTGTGAAACAATAGAGGCCTTGTCCCTTCGTCCCCGATCCTTTCGCGCGCATTTTCCACGCCTTCCCTAACGGAATGTCGTCACATCGACCTCGACGACGACCCATCGCTTCCCTCAAAGTGAAAAAAAAAAAAAAATCCCATCGGAACGATTCCCGCCAGGTCATTCGCCTCCGCGTAGGCAAATACATCACATCACGGAGAAAGTGAAGAAAAACAAAATGCGGAGAGCCCCCGAGGCCCCCCCCCCCCCCCCCCCCCCCCACTCGAGGCCTGAGGCGAATTTTCCGGAACGGCGGTGTCGAAAGGCCACGCGAAACGGATGCATAACAGGACATTTTATCAGGAAGGTACTGATTATATGGAAGTACTTTAGAAAACAATAGTCGTGGGAAGAACGTTCTCTCCATTTCCTGAGAATGAACTCGAGATAGACGCTCGTACCGCATGCCGTAGAGACTGCGTGATGCGACGGACCGAAGGAACCGCAGGAAGTACCAGGAAACGTTAGCGAATGCGTGGGCGGCACTCTCGTGTCGTCGGGAATCGTGTCGTCGGGAATCGTGTCGTCGGGAATCGTGTCGTCGGGAATCGTGTCGTCGGGAATCGTGCTTTCCTACTGAATTATGGCTGATTATTTTTGGGGGCATGTCTTAATGAGCAGCCCGTGTTCGGAATCCAAATCCACGCGACTCTTGCGTTTTTCTCGTCATCCGCCGCAGTCGGATGGACATCGTAGAGAAAAATCGGAAGAAGGACCAGTTCCTGGCCATTTTCAACGATGCTCTCTCTTCCGAGCAAAATCTCGTGTCCCAAATGCTTCCAAGTGTCCAGAGGATGGATTGGCAACCCTGGTGCATCGTGCCACGGGTGTGCCACGGGTGTGCCACGGGTGTGCCATGGGTGTGCCATGAGTGTGCCATGGGAGAGCCACGAGTGCCTCCAAGCAATAAGGGCTTTGGTCTGCTATGATAATTGAAAAAAGATGATATCTTTGGAGCTTACCTACAAATATATATAAAAATAAAATATAAATAATAAAAAATATGCAAATATATTAATATATATATTATATATTAATATATATATTAATATATATATATATTTGCAGATGATTGGGGGTCATTGTTTATGATTCCAATAAAACCCCTGTTGAGCGAAGGAATTCGCAAAATCAAAGTGGACCTTGTTCC